GCTGGAGCTCCGCAGGGGGCAACCCTTAAGAGGTGGGGGGCGCGGACAGCGCCGGGCATAGGAAAAAAGGATAGAGAGAAAAATAAGTAGCGATAATCCTCATCTTCAATAAGAAGGGGTCGCGAAGCGCTTGCGGGGAACCCTTCCGACAGCTTTAGCCCTTTAGCCTTTTAGCGCTGCGGACTATTATAGTTACTAACTACCCCCCCCCTTTCTTTACCGCCTCTCCTTTACCTATGCATACTACCTTCTCCTTTAGGGGGTTGGTTGAGGGTTAGCGCGCACCACACCACCCTCCCTGCTCCCTCGCACACCGCCCCGCTCCGCAGGCGCTGCTCCGCATGCGCGAACCCTGCGTACCCCGCGAACCACGGCTCCGCAGGCGAGGAGCTGCATGTGGCCACCGGAGAAGGAGCATGCAGTGAATAAAGGGGGTAGTGAATCAAGGTCAATTTATTATTTTTTAACTTCTTTAACTTTTTTAACTTTTTTAACTTTTTTTAATTTCTTTAATATTAAGATTGTTTTGGGTTACTTGTAAAGCAATGCTCAGGAGCTGGGCTAGCTACTGTTCATTCCAATTCTTTATAACTTTCGATCAAGTTAAATTTAAGTTCTTCATCATAGTGAGAAGGGATACTTCAAGCGTTATTTTGTATTGAGTCTTTGGCTGGTTTACTTGAAAATATATCGAAAATAACATATCCAAATAATACTGTCGCAATAACTGAAATAATAGAACCTAAACTTGATACTAGATTTCAACCAGCGTATGAATCTGGGAAATCAGGAATTCTTCTAGGCATACCGGCCATTCCTAAAAAGTGTTGCGGGAAGAATGTTAAATTAACCCCAATGAATAATGTCCAAAAGTGGATTTTACCTAATTTTTCATTAAATAATTTACCTACGATTTTCGGAGTTCAATAGTAGAATCCAGCAAATAATCCAAATACTGCTCCCATAGATAGTACGTAGTGAAAATGAGCAACTACGTAGTAAGTATCATGGAACGCTATATCAATTGAAGCATTTGAAAGTACTACTCCGGTTAATCCACCGAATGTGAATAAAAATAGGAAACCTACTGTAAACACAAGTGGTGTATGTAATCTTAAACTACCACCGTATAGTGTAGCTAATCAACTGAAGATTTTGATACCAGTAGGCACAGCAATTACCATCGTAGCGGCAGTAAAATATGCTCTCGTATCTACATCCATTCCGATTGTGAACATGTGGTGAGACCACACTAGACAACCTAGTATTCCAATAGAAAACATTGCATAAACCATACCTATTTGACCAAAGATAGGTTTACCTGAAAATGTAGAAACAATGTGACTAACTATTCCGAAGGCTGGAATAATTAAAACATATACTTCAGGGTGACCAAAGAACCAGAATAGGTGTTGAAACAATACAGGGTCACCTCCTCCAGCTGGATCGAAGAAGGATGTATTAAAGTTTCTATCAGTTAAAATCATTGTTATTGCTCCGGCTAATACAGGTAAAGTAATTAGCAGTAAGATTGCTGTTACAAAGATGGCCCAACAGAATAACGGCATTTTGTGAAGCAACATCCCATCAGTTCTCATATTAAGTGCAGTAGAAATGAAATTTATAGCTCCCAATAATGAAGATACTCCAGCTAAGTGTAGTGAGAAAATTGCTAAATCAACTGAACCTCCTGAGTGAGATTGAATTCCAGATAATGGAGGATATATTGTTCAACCTGTACCAGCTCCATTTTCTACTAATGCACTTAATAATAGTAGTAATAGTGAAGGAGGTAACAATCAAAATGATATATTATTTAGTCTCGGAAATGCCATATCTGGGGCACCTAATTGTACTGGTAAGAAGTAATTACCAAAACCTCCTACTAAACCAGGCATAACCATGAAGAAAATCATTATTAATGCGTGAGCAGAAATGATTACGTTAAACAATTGGTGGTCTCCCTCTAAAAATTGTAATCCAGGAGCAGCTAATTCTAATCTAATTAAAACTGAAAAAGCAGTACCTATCATACCGGCAAACACAGCAAAAACTAAATAAAGGGTACCAATCTCTTTGGCATTAGTAGAGGTAAGCGTCCAAGGCATTTTTACACCTGCCTTAACGCTAATTCTAAAAGCGGTCCAAAATTTATTATATTTTTTTTTAATTTTTGTTTTTACAATAGAATGCGACAGTGGTCCTAAGTGTTTTTTTAAGCTCTCGCCCAGCCGTGCTGCCTCGGCTCAGGGCGCCCTGCTCTCGCTTCGCGCTCGCTCCCTCCCGCGCTTCGCGACTCGCGCTGCCTCTTATCGGGTTTGCCTGGGGCAGGATGCTAAAGCAGCGACTGCTAGTGGGGTTGCGGAGACCACTGCAACCCCCAGGCTGGCACAATACTTTAGTCGTATCAGACGGACACCCTGCAGCCCTAAAGCAGAACCACCGCCCTGCGGTAGCTAAAGCAGCTGCGACCCTCGCTTTACTAGAGATAAGGAAAAAATCGACCAGCGGAGCACGAGCTGCGCCTCCGAATTAAGAACACCTACCATTAACAATGCAAGCGCGAAGCGTGCAAAGCGCAAAACAAACTCTCGCCTTGAGAAGTGGTGCTGGCCGCCCCTTTACTCTAGCAGTGCCGGGGTGCTTCCCTTTCGGAATACCCTCTTTTGCATAATAAGTGCTGCTTCTTCGCACCCTTTTCGGATTATGAAGGGGTACACACCGAAGGCGGGAAGGGGGGGGGGTTAGCTCGCTCCCCTTTAAAGCAGGAGGGGTGCTGCTATCAGATCTGAACCTACGGTTTCCCTTGACTAATTGCGAAGGGGAAAACCTTCGAGGTCTTACAGAGCTTTGCTGAGTCTACCTTTACACCTTAGATATAAGGCTACTGCGCTCTAATTCCCCACAAGGGGTATAAAAAGGCTGGTATACTTTCGTAAAGTTAGTAAGTATAACGAAGTAATTAGTTAGTAGTACAAATGTACTTCAGAATCTTTAAAGCTAGTGATGGTACGGAGAGGAGCTGCCCCGAGTTGCTATGCTTCAGGTTGAAAAATAAAGCTTCTTACCAGAATTGAACTGATCTTTACTTCGTGAAGGGAAGTTGTTTTAACCACTATACCAAAGAAGCTTAAATTAAAAAGCGCTATTTAAACAAGGTGATGCTAGATGCTAGATGATAGAAACTAGAGACTATAATTTATTTATTAGCCTCTCCTCAGCTTACGTCCGCTACTGCTGCGAGACTAAGGGTCCTAACCAACGGTCAAGAGGAGAACCCTGAGGGCTGGCATTGCTCGTAAGGATCCTTCTGCTTTTCTCGCCTGCGTAGGTATGGTAGCGAGTATGGTAAGGGCGAGCGCGGGTGGTATAGAACTGGAGCCTTCGGAGTGCAGGCTGGTTTTTTTGGTGAGCTACGGTTGCAGGCAGAGTCAAGCTACCGCAGGCAACGCGGCTTCCTTGCGCTGCCTCTGAGGGACAGCAGGGGAGTGAATCTTTGCAGCGTAGGAGGGCTGAACCTATGAACTTCTTAAAACTAGAACAACTAGACCACTGAATCAAGCAGGGAGGAAACTAAGAATTAAGGAAGTATTAAATTGGAGTGCTTTAGTTGTACCAGTCAACAAGTGTATTTAATAGAATTTCTGTAAGACTTTTTTAGTGCTAATTAACTTTAAAGTTTTTGTTTTTTTCCCAGTATACAATCATATGCGGATATATTTTTTTACCACAACAGGGTAACCACTGCAGCGCTGCAACATTCCGAAGGGGTAGCACTACCTTGCTTTAGCATGCAAGGGTGACTGCTGCACAACCCTCTTATTAATATCCTTGAGTCTAAGTAGAACTACTCTGCAGGGACTCCGCTCTCGCGAAGCGCCATTTTGGATTCTTGAGAGGAAATAAACACTAAGGATCCAGCTTTACAAGCTAGTGAAAGGGTATCAGTAATCGGAAAGGGCTGGAGGGCTCTTAATATACTCAGTGGGGATACACTTACGCAACTGCACGTGAAGCTTTGCGGAGGGGGTCCAGATGAAGGCAAGAAAACTAATATTGATACTCCGCAGGCCGGCTGAAAAATTAACCCTTCAAGGGACCCCGTCTACGGTCCGCTGGCGGAATGGCAGGCGTTATTTAAAATATTTAAAGCTAAACTAGATTATATCTAAAAAAAATTAGGTTAAAGCATAGGGCGTTAAATTCTCAATTAAAGATACTACAATCCTTTACTCAAATCAAAAAGCTAAAGCGTTCGTGATAGGGGACCTCTTAATCGCGGATATAGCCTATAGCTTATCGGCTCTGGTCTAAGAGTTATTTTAAAGAGTGAGCTCTACTTTAATCCTCTTAAACAAATTAAGTTACTAGAGTGAAATCACTAGTGACTTGCAGATAAAAGGTAAGGCGGTATACTCCGCAACCGAGAAGCGTGCAAAGCGCGAGCTGCTTAAATTAGTCAACAGCACAGCATGCTCCACTGTCGCGGAGGGGCTACGCTGCCCCACCTGTCGCGTGCTGAGCGTTGCTGGTGGGGCCCGTTGCTTCTAAAGGACTGCTTCTGCTTTACCTGCTCCGCGGGAGGGAGAGCCTGTCTGCGGACAGTAGGATAGCTGTTTACTTATCTATATACTTAGCTGGTAAGTTAACGTTTCACACCTTAACTACTTTCTCTTAAGATCGCTCCAGGTTTAGAGCTTCACTAAATTATTAATAAGAATACAACGGCAGGTTAACCTAAGCTAATCTACTCGTTACCTGCCTTATAGCTAAGGTACCAAGAAGCTCAGCTCAAAGGCCTCCCTCGTGCCCTCCCCGAGTGCGAGAGTTAAGGTAGAGCACCTCCTCATGATGTAAAAGGTTCGCGCCCGCGCAACCCTCCAGGATTATAGCTGCCCTGGTACCCTGCAAACTGCTTCTGCTTTAGCACAGTCCAGTGAAGCTGGCGCGAGCGTGCTGCGCCCAGCCCCCTGTCCCGCCCTGCTCGGGAAGGGGCAGCGCTGGTCTGGTGGTGGGATTGTATGTAACTAAAGAATAAAAAATTTTTTAACAAAAACTTAAGTGTTAGACAATCTACTCTCTCCTTTAGCAAAGCTAGCTATCGTAAACTAGCCCTGAACCCATACTGCTCGAGGGTCCTGAATCGTAGTATTACAGGCTGGAGCCTGCCTCCCGGCAGGGCGGAAGGTAACTGGTGACGGGACTGAGCCCACGGCTGCGGATTTATCCCTCCCTTGTTCAACCTCCACTGTCCCTCCAGCGCTGCGAACCCTTAGCAGTGCTGGAGGTTCGCACCAGCGACGCTAGATGAGAAAGCAGTCCTTCGACTCTGGGAATTCGCAGGATTGTAGCTCCTGTTACGCAGTGCGCCCCCTGCGGAGCGCCGTTAAAGCAAGGAGAGGCAGCGCAGCATGCTGGAGGAGGACAAAATTTTTTTAATCGTTGTTATTTTCTATTTATTTTCCCTTATTATTTATAATAAAATTTGATACTTTTTTTATATACCCTTAAAGAACCTTAACTAGATTATTTTTTAATCTTAGTTTTAGAAATTACTATACTTTTAAAAAAAAGAGAATAAAATTTTAATTCTAAAGAATTGACTTTGCACTAGGACTGAAGAAAAATAAGCAATTATATCTTTTATTTTAATAAATTAAACCTTTTTTAAGTAGAGCGTTTAATCTACAATACTAGTTCATTCTTTGCTTAACCCTTCACGCGCTTCGCTCCTGCGGCCCGCTGCACTGCGCCCTGTCCCTAACCTAAACACCAACTCGGCGGATTCGTGCTGCTGCACTGCAGCTTTACCTTGCACACGCCGGGACAGCATCGCTACCGCTCAGCGCGCGCTACGCTCCCTTTGTGGCGAAGCAGAGGAGCCGCCCTCTTCCTCGCTCCGCTTCACACGCTCCGCAGGCCGCGCCCAGTGCGGAGCGAGCGAGGGTAGAAGAGGGAGGGTGCCGAACAAAGAGCTAGGCTGGGCGGCTGCAGGACTCATAATTTTTTGCTCACCTACCTCCAACGGGTGGGCTGATTATCCCCGCTCTCCTCTATCAGATCTACGATATCCACGCCTCCTTCTGCACGCTCCCATCCGCAGTCGATCCTTACGCTCGGTGTGGTAGGTGCGCTACCCTTCCCCGACCCGAGGGGAAGCGGACCGCTAAATTAGCGGTCCGCTTGCGCCGAGTGGATCGCTGCCCAATACCTCCTCGGTCTTTATTTTATTCGATAATTTCACTACCATCTAGATCTCCTTCGTACTCTATTGCTTTAAGGATATATCACTCTTAATATAAGATAGATAAGGATCCGCTTACTTCGGTTGCTTATCCAGGTTCACAATCTGCACAGACCAGGGGCAAGGCGAACGATAATACGGAGTATGCTAAAGCAATCCTACTCCGCTCGGCCTGCGGGCCTCTCCTCCTGTAGCAGGGGGTGCGCACCCCCACCTGAAGGGCGAGGGTGCAGGAGGGTTAATTAAATTCAAGGAGGCGCGGACTGGTACGCAGCCCTTGCTGGACGAGTGGACCCAGGCGACCCCCAAAGTGCTAAAGCAGGAAGGGGGTATCAGTTATATTTCTGCGATTCTTTGTTTAGGTTACTTGAGTTATAGCTCTAACTCTGCTGCGCGCGGTAACAAGGTCTCCGCTAGTCCTTTATGTGACGTATATTTCTAGGAACTTTATCTGTTCCCCTCACGCGCTCCGCTCCGCGCCTGCGGACCGCAGTGCGCAGCAGCCGAGTGAAGGTTGCTAAAGCAGTCCGCCCTGCGCCCTGCAGCGCTGGGCGAGCACACTTGCGCGCGGGCTGAATGACATTAGTAGTAATCATTAGTAGCCTTAGTTTAACTAATTATTAATAAAGAAGGGTCCTAGTTTCTAAACTCGTATTACTGCCTGCGAGCGCGAAGCGAGAGCAGGATTCGCTCCTGCGCTCGCCAGCAGCGCACTGCGCTCGCCCAGCGGAGCGCGCGGAGCGGTGGTTCTGCTTTATGCGCTTCGCTCCCTTCGGGGGCGCACTGCGCCCTGCGGGGAGATAAATTTTAATTCAGCTTCAAGTTACTTCCTTCTGATAGTATCAACTGTGGAGAAATTAATAAAAAAATATAAAGTAGGGATGTAAATAATTAATAGAGTAGTAAAATCTGTAAAATTGTCATCTAAAATTAAAGGAGCAAAAGAAAATGAAATTAAAAACATAAACCCTGAAATAATATAAATAATATATGAAGGTATCAATCCTGTATCTAATTTAGCAATATTTTTTGCGATCTTAGTGAATAAATTAGACAATCCAAAAGGTCCTACTAATTCTATAACACCTTTATCTAATTCTTCTGATATTTTGTAACCAAATTTAAATCCTTTGCTAATGATATAGTTATTATATAGTACATCAAAGAAGTACTTACTATTTAAAAAAGTGTATATTTTTGATATAAATATTGTTTCAGTTAATTTTATTATAAAATTAATATTTTTATTATATAGATATAAGGCTAATAAAGCTCCAATTATACTTAAAAAAGTAGGTAAAAGTTTAATAATTACGGGTAAACTAAATTCAGCCTCAACTAATGTTACATTATCAGGGTGTATAAATAATGCATCACTTCCTTTAGAAGCAGTTCCCGCTAAAAAATCAGTACCAATTCCAACAAATAAATCTGAAAAGATATAACCAAAAAAAATACTAAATATACCCAAAATAATCATAGGTAATATCATTATAAAACTAGACTCGTGTGAATTTAAATATGTTAATTTACCCCCATTAGGCGAAGTTAAGAAAACTAAACTTATTAACCTAAAACTATAAAAAGCAGTTAAAAAAGCAGTTAATGAACCTAATACAAAAGCATAAGTTCCACTAAAGCTATATTTACTATAAGCTAATTCTAATATTAAATCTTTACTATAATAACCCGAAACAAAAGGTAAAGCCATTAATGAAATAGTTCCTACCATTAATAAGGAATAAGTAACGGGTAAAAATTTAATCAGTCCACCCATTTTTCTAACATCTTGTTGATCAGCTACTGCATGAATAATTGAACCACTAGCTAAAAATAGTAGAGCTTTAAAGAAACTATGATTTACTACATGAAATAAGGCCACATTATACTGACTAAGCCCTACAGCCATCATCATATAACCTAATTGACTAATAGTAGAGAAGGCAACAATTCTTTTTAAATCATTTTGAACTAGCCCCGATGAAGCAGCTACAAAAGCAGTGGTAGAACCGATAAAAGTTAATATTAGTAAAGCTGTAGGGCTATATTCTAAAATAGGTGAACTTCTTAATAGTAAATAAATTCCCGCTGTAACAAGAGTAGCAGCATGTAGTAAGGCTGAAACTGGAGTAGGGGCTTCCATACTACCAGGCAACCAACTATGTAAAGGGATTTGAGCGGATTTAGCTAAACTACCCCCAATTAATAATAATGAAATAATAGTAATAGCTAATTGATTAGCACTAGGGGCTAATGAAAAAATAGACTCGTAATTAAGAGTCCCAAATAAACCAAATAAGGCAAAGAAACCGATACTTAATATCATATCCCCTGTTCTATTCATAGTAAAGGCCAATATAGCTGCTTTGTTTGCTTGTATTCTTGTAAAATAGAAATTAATTAACAAATAGGAGAATACCCCAATTGCTTCCCAACCCACAAACATTACAAAATAATTCCCTCCAAAAACTAAAACTAGCATACCTCCTGTGAAAGCAGATAAGTAAGCAAAAAATCTTTGATTATGGGCATCAGTTTCTAAGTAAGAAATACTATAAAAGTGAATAAGAGTAGAACAATATAAAACTGCTAAACCTAATGAAATACTTAAATTATCGAATTTAAATTCTCAATTGATATTTAAAACTCCAGAGTCTACTCAAGAACCTAAATTTAAATTAATAGATTCTCCACCACATAGTACTATTTTATAAAAAGCAATACTAATTAAGATTGAAGAAAGCAGTAAAGATAAACAAGTAATAAATTGGGAACCTTTAACTCCTAATTTTCGCCCTAAAAAACCCGCTACAAAAGAACCTAATAAAGGTAAAGCTACAATATTTATTATAATTAAATTAAGATTCATATATTAAACTTTTAGTAATAAATTTCCTCTTAATTTGTAATATGCTACTATTATACTTAATCCTATTATTGATTCAGCACCTGCAATTGATATTATATAAATACTAAATGTTTGACCTATATTGTCATTTAATTCAAAAGAAGTAATTAATATTAATAAAGTGCAAAAACTATATTAGTTTTAGATTACAAAGCCTGACGCTTAACCTTTACGGTCCCATATTACGCTCTGCTTCGCCTCGCGCTTCGCTCCTGCGGCCCGCAGCACTGCGCCCTGCTGAGGACTGCAGTGCTAAAGCAGTCCGCCTTGCGGCGTGCACGGAGGGAGGTGGGGTGGCCTCAGTAGTCTGCTTTTACCTGGACCTCTTGCACTCCGGCGCTACGCTGGTCTGATAAGAGCCTTGCACGCTTCGCGCCTGCATGTTTCGGTCAGCCTAGCCTGGCTAGCTAAAACAGAAGGAAGGTAAAGCAGGCGAAGTAGCTCTAAGCCGGAGTCGAGAAGTAGTACTGAACTCCAGGTATTTTCGAGTCCAGGCTGGTTTTGGTTACACCGGGTGGCTGGCTGGCTATATTGGTAAGGAGTTGACTCCGTAAAACTGCCCTTGCCGGTAGCTTAACTCCGCAAGGTGCTTCTACTTTAGCTGCAATACAGCAGTCCGCAGTCGCGAAGCGCGGGAAGGGTTTGCACCAGGCGCCCTTTGCGATTGCTGAGTAGTAGACGGCCAGCTGAGGGTAGGGCGCGTTGCTAAAGACACCCTCAACTGTGCAGATGCGAGACTGATACTCACCGCACCCGCGGTACGCGAGTAGTGCTTTCGAAAGGCGCAACCGCTCCGCGTCAACTGAGAGCCAGCCAGCGCTCCAGGCTCCGAAGCTTGGGGACTGAGGAAGCAAGTGAAGGAGCTTTAGGTACCGCAGAGAAGCGCTCACCCTTATTAGCGGGTACTGTTTCGCGCTGTGGCGGTTATTGCACAAAGGGTTTTTCTGCAGACGCGGAGAGGCTGTGGTACCAAACAAAGGGTCAGCCATCAGACTCGGTCCCGCGCTTCGCTCCAACGGCCTGCTGTGCTTTAGCTGCTACGCTACTCAGAGTTCGGGCTAGCGGCCTCGAGACAGCGGAGCTCCTCAGAGCTTCGCTCGCTGACGGGAGGGGTTAGGTATCTGAGTCAACACAGAGGGCCTACCCCCTGCAGCGCATTCCCTGATAGGTTAGCAGCAGGCGGAAGGCTGCGGTACGATAATATGTGGGAGTCAAAGTTATATATCGAAGAGTGGGACTCTCCTTTCTACCTAATCTGGACCCTTGGAGGCTACGCCGTAACCAGCTCTACATTACCTGATCCGACCCTGCCCTTACCTTGCCAGCTTCGCCCCCCATCCTCCGCAGTCGCGAAGCGCGGCGGGGGAGGGGCTGTATCTGTATGAGTGCAAGGGTTGAAGCAATCATTCCTCTCATTGAAGTAAGGAGAAGGCCAGTAAGGCAACTAGCTACTGTCCTGAGGCTAAAATTATAAATCAGCAACACTAGAGAGGGTTAATATTAGCAGAGACGGAGCGCCTGAAACTGGAACATATAAAATTTTTAAATAAGCGCACAAGCGAGAGGGTTGCAACTAATATATAAGACCTATTCTATCTTCCGGTATAATAAATTAAAAAAGACTTGTTATCATCTTATTAAGCGCGGCGCATGCAATTAGTACACTTCTACTTTAGCATTCCCGTTTATTCAAGTACGCTTATTTTCGAAAACGCCGAGCAGAACTTAGTTCTCTAATTTATTTTTATACGGAGCCTACGTAAGGTCAATAATAATAAACCGCCAAATATGGATTATAAGTTATCTTAACAAACCCGCGCAGCTTTAGCAACCTGCAGTGCTAAAGCAGAACCACCTCACGCGCTCCCGCGCTTCGCTTCCTCCCTTGCCCTTAAGGGTGGGCGGGCGCGAAGCATCCCTCGCTCCGCATGCGCCCTGCGGAGCGTGCGTAGGGGAGGGGTGGCAGGGCGGCGAGCGCTAAACCACCGAGCCTTATGGTCAGCATGCGCGTAATACCTGCTGCTCCACCAGCCCCGCTGCTCCGAATGGGGTGCGCGCCGCGCGCTTCGCGGCGCAGCACTGCGGCCCGCAGCACTGCGCCCTGCGGAGGACTGCTGCCCCTGCGGAGCGCTGCGCGGGTGGGGAGGGCATAATTTTAAGTAAAAAAAGTCGATGCTAATAATTTCTTTTTTTGTAGCAGTAGCTACGCACCCTTCGGGCGTGCTCCCCTATTATATTGCACTTTCCATTAGTAGAGAGGGAGCACAATAAGAGAAAGTGTAGGGAGGTATACTAATTGAGAACAGTCGAGTTCATAATTTTTTTATTGCAATCTAAATAAAAAATAAATTTTTTGCAAACTAAATAAAAAAAATTTATTTTTTCAACCTATTATTCCACTAGATAGCTTGCTCTGTCTTTTTTCTGCTTGCTAACCATGGCTTGGAGGCTAACCCTCCCCCCCTTTTGAGGTTTAAGCTAGCAGGGCTGGTTTTACGCTCCGGAGCTTTTGTTTAGGAGAAGACCTCTTCGCGCCCTGCAGGGCGCCCTGCTCCTTCGGTTACCCCTTGCCCGCCCGCGCTACTCTCCTGCGCCCAGCAAGGGTCGCGAAACACCTGCGGAGCGGTGCTTCGCCTGCAGGGGGGTTGCCCTTATTTCTCCGCACTCGGAATGCTCCAGCTGGACTACAGCTTAAGTAGCACAAAGGGCTTCGCAGCACAGCAGGCACGCAGCATGCGCGCATGCGCGTAAGCCGCAAGCGCGTAGGCCGCAACCACGAACCCTGCGTAGGGCTTGCGGAGTAGGCAGCATTTGTCTATTAAAAGTTTAGCTTTTTCAGAAGTGAGTGGCTTGTTATTGTACACTACCAATTAATAAATATCTCTAGTGAAAGATTACCCTCTACCTAACCCAGGTTTTCGCCCCGCAGGGCGGACAATCGGGTAGCCCGGGCGCTACTGCCCTAAAGCAGAGGCAGACAGCGGACCGAGGACTGTATGGTAGTATTCACCCTTCCCTTAATCTCCAGCCTACACAACCCTCCCCACGCCTGCCGAGTAACCTTCATAATCCTTAAGGTGGAGTGTAAAATTATTCTAGTTCGGGGTACACACGCTCCGCAACCCGGTACCGTAATATGCGGTACCGGGCTACGCGGAAGCGCTCTACTAGTGCCTCACCGTTTTACAAGGTTAAAAATAAAAATTTTTTTATTAATCTCCCGCAAAGTAAAGGGTTTTGGCTAAATACTAATGACCAAAGCAGTCGAGGGTCGCAAGCGCGAAGCTCCAGCATGCGCGCCCATCCTCCGCAGTCGCGAAGCGCGGCGGGAGCGAAGCGCTAGGGGACTACGAACCCTGCCAACAAGCAGGAGGCGAACCACCGCAGCAGAAGATTTAAGAACAAAAAATTAGACTACTAAAACTATCGAATATTACTAAATTAACTATGCGTAAAGGCCCGTAAATATCTCTGCAACGCTCCACTGTCGCCCTGCTACCGCTGCTGCGCGACCCGCCCCTCCTCACCTTAACTTTGCAGAGATTCGCAGTAGCAAAGCGCGAGGGGTGCTAAAGTTAGGCTGGGAGAGAGTTAGCAGTCCAGGTTGCACTTGAATGAGTATTGCTCTCCCTGCTTACCCTCTGGTCACACCTCATCGGCTCAGCCGAGTTCAAGTTGAGCGTAGCCTCGATTAGCTTCGTAGGCTAAGGTTCAGTAGAAAAAGAAGGTTATTTTATTTGTTAAAGATACTCACTAAAGAGCATGAGGCGGTAACCTATAAAGAATTTTTATAAGTTCTTTTTATTTTCAATATAGTAGGTTTTCTCATTAACTTTTACAAGTTAAGGCTGTCAATGGTAAAAAAAAATTTTTTTTTTCTTCTTAAGAAATATACAGTAGCACACACCCTTCCACGGCTTCAGTAGTTGAGTAATCCCACGTCCTAACTAGGCTCCCGCTACGTAGCGCCGCACAGCGCCGCCCCTCCAGAGCTGAGGGGTAAGCTACGCCCTTCGGAGCGTTCCTGGTCTTCTTTAGAACCGAAGGATGGGGCTCCTTCGGAGTAACCCTTCATGCTCTAACGCACCCCGCGTAGCTCACGCACCTCCGCAGTCGCGGAACGCGCTAAAGCTGGATAAAGGAAAGTTGCGGAGGTAAAAGAGCCAAGGTGGAGGGGAGGGAAGGGCGTATCCTAGGGTACACTCCTGAAGCCGTACCCTTTCACACCCGGTAATGCAACGCTTCGCGACTGCAATACACACCCTAAGATGGCTAGAAGAGTAAAGAGCAGTATAACCTATCCCTCCTTCTCCTTTAGCGGGGGGTGCGTAGCACCGCTGGAGGGGTCTCAGTTACCAAGTTCGAGTCCGCAGACTGCTTCTGCTTTACCTCTGAAGCGTGCGTAGCGCCCGATTATGAAGGTGAATTACTAATTAAAATTTCAAGGAAAGTATTACTGGTTATTAGTCTGCTCCTAATTCGCAGGCTGCCTTAGCCTCCTTCGGAGGATTGCTTTAGCATCCAGATGAGCCAGGAGCGCCTCCTCAACCAGGAGTGCTAGTGTGAAGCAATAGTAGCCTCAATCACAGCTTCCAAAGGTGGTGCTGATAAAGCATGTGCCCTGCGGAGCTCCTGCTGCTCCACCTTCCCTGCAGCTCCGAAGAGGGAACGCGCCGCGCGCTTCGCGGCGCAGCACTGCGGCCCGCAGCACTGCGCCCTGCGGAGGACTGCTGCCCCCTATGGAGCGGTGCGCGGGAGGGGTGAAAATGCAGTAGGAGGGAGGCTAACTAGGCTAACGAAAATAAATAATACTCTTCGTAGCCCCCGCTCCCTTGCTAAAATTATAAGTAAGCAACTCTGATGTTCGAAAGTAGAAAATTTAATGCTAAAAAATTTTTTTATTTAGCTCTGCAATCCAGCTACTGCTTTAGCATCCGAAAGCTGGAAGGGCTCAATTATTCGCTGAAGGGGCTTCGCTGCACAGCAGTACCGGCTCCGCATTGCTTTTATCTCCCCATACGCTACGCCCGGTACGCCCTTGCGGACTTAGCGTATGCTCCTCACTCGCTTCCCTACACTCCAGCTAAAGCAATCGGCCTGCGGAGCGCGTGTAGCGGAGCGAGGAAGGGAGTCGCGCCTCCATACGCCCGCGGAGGCGTGCGGGATCGCTGCGCGGGAGTCGTGCCTCCATCCGCTCCGCGCCTGCGGACCGCAGTGCGCTGCAGGGGAGGCGCGCGGGAGCGCAGCTACTTATTTAGCCTAATACGGGTCTTCTCTACTGCAGCATTAAATTAAGAAGCCGCTGTTCAGCTAGCTGAGCCTGAGCTTATTTTTACAGCTAATAGTAGTAATTCTATAGCTACAATTAGTAAAATTATATTATTTCTGTTTAAAATAAAACCTGCGATTCCACACAGAAATAAAAAAATCATTATTATTTTCATTTTGTAATATAATGTTAGTACCATTTATGATCTTAAATATAACGTTTTTTTAGGGAGACTAATCTTAAACTTTTAAACAAATGTCCACTCCTGGATAGATATAGCTTACAGTGATGCTGATTTAATTTTACGAAACCTTAAAATGTCCAGACGAAGGAGTAGCGTTGCGCGCCGCAGGGCGGACAGGACGACCTTTAGTTAGCAGTAGAGAGTAAGGCAAGCTAAAGCGCTAAACAACTAAAAGGCTAAAAGGTTAAAACACTAAAGCAGAAGAAGGGTGCTTTTATTTTTTTTCAAGATTACCCTTGCCGCGCTACTCCGAATGTAAGCCCTCTTCGCTCGGCGGCAGCGCACAGCGCTTCCGCTAGCGACTTAGTTCTAGATCCGCGCGCAAACACGCGGCGCGGCGCAGGCCGCGCTTTGCCTAGGCCGCGCGCCCCTAGCGCGCGCACCGCTAGCCCGGAGCGCTCCGCGCGCTCCGCTGGCCGAGCGCTGTGCGCTGCCGCCGAGCGAAGAGGGTTGCTTACATTCGGAGTAGCGCGGCAAGGGTAATCTTGAAAAAAAAATAAAAGCACCCTTCTTCTGCTTTAGTGTTTTAACCTTTTAGCCTTTTAGTTGTTTAGCGCTTTAGCTTGCCTTACTCTCTACTGCTAACTAAAGGTCGTCCTGTCCGCCCTGCGGCGCGCAACGCTACTCCTTCGTCTGGACATTTTAAGGTTTCGTAAAATTAAATCAGCATCACTGTAAGCTATATCTATCCAGGAGTGGACATTTGTTTAAAAGTTTAAGATTAGTCTCCCTAAAAAAACGTTATATTTAAGATCATAAATGGTACTAACATTATATTACAAAATGAAAATAATAATGATTTTTTTATTTCTGTGTGGAATCGCAGGTTTTATTTTAAACAGAAATAATATAATTTTAC